TAGACAATGCTATTAAGAAATGTCAAACTATCTCTATTTTAATGAAGATGTAGTTCCAAAGTAAATAAGGCAATAACCAATGCGTCCCAGTCCAATGACCCCCACAGTGCTGCCGGAGAGGCCATAACCACACAGCATGAGAGGCTTCCACGAGGTCCAGTCACCACTAGCAGACCAAGAGAAAAACATTTTGACCAAAAAGTTTATATCATTACTTGAAGTCTAGGTTAGGTCAAACTCAGATTTTTTTTTCATAAACGAGTAAACATGTTGAGACTGACTTTTTGACGGCCTCCACCCCCTCTGGTAATCTGCGAGCAGTGGCCAGCAGCAGGGCTACAGTAAGTTCTGCCGTGGCATCAGTCAGGACGTCAGGAGTGTATCCAACACGTATGCCACTGTTTAAAAAAAACATACAGTACTACATGTATAAGCTATGTTACACTTCATGCTGTTAGTCAAAGGTTGGTTTTGTAAGGTTGACCTACCGCTTTTTGATTGCGTCAAGAACCAAGTGGTCAAATCCCACGGACATGGTGCTGATGACTTTCAGGTTTGGTCCTGGAATTAGAGAAAAGATCAGCTGAGACACATAAAAGGAGAGTAATCATGATCAGCAGGTTGATTCTGAGGATTCCTTAGTTATAGATAAGCTGAAGCAATGAGTGATTAGTTGATAGGTAGAAAATGTTGCCAAAAAAATATGGATAATTGATGAATCATCATGAAATTAAAGTGATCTCTGGTTATGTGCACTTCTTGCTATTCTGTGTCATGTCATTGTAAATTTCAGTGTCTCTAGAAAGTGTGCATACCCTTTTTGAATTTTCATGTTAATTGTTAATTGTCTTGCAGTTCATGGAAATCCTATCTACAATTTGTAGATAGGATTTTAATCCCACTTTTATATCCAAATCTCTAACCCTCACTTCCTGACATCTCCCTGCGGTCTGCATGGACTGTAAATATTAAGGTTGTCTGTAATAAAAACATAATAGAATGTCGACACAATGTAAATACAAGTAAATGTAATGTAGCTCTTTTAGTTTTTCATTCATAAACATAAAACATTGAAATCCACTGATACAAAGTTGATGAGAACCTGCAGCATCCAGAAGCTCCGCATCGATCTTATCTGACAGCATACACAGCAGACCATGAGCGCCCTGCACACCTTTGAGAAGCTCTGTCCTCGGCACAGGTTCATCCGAGTCCCACATGGAAACCTCACATCTGTTTACATGGAGACAGAGAAGAACTCAATGCAAAGGGATAGCCTCATCCAGTCAGTCAGCCTATCATTTAGCTGCAGTCTTGATGAATGTATGCAACTGCGTTAGAGATCTTATGAATCCGTCACTCTGATATTTTCATTTTGTGATCTCATAGAATCTGGACATGCAATACAAAGTGTCACATGAATTCAACTAAAAATCTAAATGTGTAACACGTGTTTCAGCCAAAGGAAAAGACAGCAATTTAACACTGTGTGTAGAGCCACACGCTGTGCGGTTAGTTATTAGTTGTTTCTCTGCATAACAGTTAGATGAAGGTCAAAATTACTGCATACACTCCAGTAGCAGATGAAAGTATCTTCATCCCCTCCGGCGGGATTCGTCTCGTTATGTAAACCTTCATAAGTTTTCCAATTGTCTGCATCCTACTTAAAGAGCCACAATGAACAAAATCCTCTTCAGGTGATACAACGTGTAACTTGTGTAAAGGCTGGACGACTACACACTGGTAACACAGGTAACCAGCAAAGTCTGAATGACAACTGGAAGAAACTACACTTGTACACGGAAGTACAATGTGTAATTCTTCTTCTTTGTGTGTGTGTTTTAATGGCAGCTGGTATCCAACAAGTTGCATTACTGCCATCTACTGGATTTAACTTCTCAACAGACCAGTTTTCATATAATAATATTCACAGTCTATGTTTTCAATACATAATCAAATAGGTAACTTCGGCCTCAGTCCAGAATAATTCAGATGAGTTCAGCTCTCTTCACTTCTAATGATGTTCTGTCTTTGTGTTGAATATAAATACAGGTCATAAGCACGTGTTCAACATGTTTCTGCTTGACTGCAAACCTCACAGAGACCAGATGAATTCTCTATTTTACTGTATCAATGTTGCTCTGAATTGAATATAAATATATTCCCTTTGTCTGATTGATCCATTACTGTTTACTCCATGGGATTCTTTACCCTCTGACTTCATCTCTGCACTGTAACTTTTACGCTTATTATTATTAAAATTTTTATATAACTCATTTTATGTTAGCTTATTTTTTTTGACTTAATTATTTGACTTAATTACATTTTAATCATGTATTTTATTTCCACATATTTTCAGATTTAATCTTCTCTTCCGTGTGTGAATTGTTTGTTCGAGTGTTTTAAAAATGTTCTAATGTTCTTCTTTCCTCTGTCATGATGAGTTTGATGTCTTGTTGTTGAAATGTACTATATAATTAAACTTGCCTTGCCTTTGGATAATGTGATGTCCAAATAGCAGTCCTCTCTTTCTTAATAACTTCCTTTGCACAACCCGTTTATAGTTGCATTTCCTGCAATGCCTGTATGTGCTGGAATCCACATGAATGTCCTGTCTGAGCCCTGACTGAATGTGTAAGTATTATTTCATGGCGAGAAGATCCTGATTCAATACGGTACATAGCACGCACTGAGTCACTGCATAGCAGCACTTTTCTGCCTTTGATTTGCTCCACCCATTCTAAAGCTACTAAAATAACACAGCTCTACCGTATAAACATTCAGGGAATCTGACATTCTCTTAACTGCTCCAACATTGCAGTGTGGGAATTACACAGCTGCTCTTGTTGCATTTGTCAGTGGGTCTTAAACATCATTTGCATAGCTTTGCTCTGTGTGTTCATAAAACTGACTTACTAAATCCACAGTTCTTTTTGATGCATAACTCTGTGCATGAGAGGAATTATAACTACTCTGGTCTCTCAAGTTGTACTTCATCAATAATAGATCACCTGAATCAGTTCTATTTCATGTCAGGATAACTTTTAAAAATCTTCTGTTCGTTTTCTTTTTGGTCAAGGTGTTGTTTGTAAAAAAAAAATTGCAAACGCTTTGTCAAAAACTATCAGTAGGCTATATCAATAATTCAATGGATTGTTTAAAAAAGGAAATACAACCCAAACTGATGTACAGCACTTAAGTGAGCTAAATATAGCCTACATAATTACCACCTTAAATACTGTACGTGTACCGTGTCTTCTTCACCAATGACCAATATATAGATAGATAGAAGGTACAGCAGTGTCTGAAACGAGGAAGTCTGTACATACTTCAAGGTGCAATTGTGCTAATATATTATTTGTCGAGATAAACATGAAACTGTCCAACTAGAGACTGTCTCTTTAATACAGCTGCTTTAAGTCCAAGAACTCTGCTGAGGTGTTGTACAATCGTATGGTCAAGGGGACGAAAGAGTTCTCTAGTATGTGGAGCAGGATTGTGACAGCAGCCACTGAACACACTCTTCTGCCTGGTCAAGGTGCTGTGCAGAGGGGTGGTGGGTGTTGTCCAGAGTCCTTCTCTCTGCCCTTATCACCAGAGAGTCCAGCTCTGTGTCATCCACAGAGGAAGCCTTCCAGTCTATCTACTGCATCCCTCTTCTTTCTGCTTCCTCTCCAGTAGAAAACAGGACACAGTGGCTCTGCAGCAGCTTTTTGCAAATGCGGAAGGACCCCAGCCTTCTCAGAAAGTACAAACACTATTCTGTAGTGGCTGGGCAGTGAAGCCTGTTAAAAAAAAACCCCAACAACAACAGGTTGAGCAGGTTTGCTCTCACAATGTCCCCGTCCTCTGTTGCCCTTCTTGCAGCCTGTGATGATTTTCATGCCCTCACAGACCTCCCTCATGCTGCCAGTGACAAATTAAACAAATGGCTAATTAATTAATTAATCCACCACCTCCTCCCCTATGGGTTTTCTTTCAAAGATTAAATTATGTACAAGTAGGCTACAACCCGTGCTTTTCTCCTCGTCGGTAAGTGTAACGACGTCGCTCACCGCTTGCCTGCGTATGACGTAAGTCCTTTCGTACATTTCCTGTTCTCGTGCTCGGACTGCTCGGCGTCTCCTCCACTGGGGCAGCAGCTGAGCTGTAAATGGTCTCTCTCTCGAAGCGACAGAGGGCGGAATAAGGAGCTCTGAGTGCTTGGGAAACAAACAAGAAGCTTACAAGCAGGAAATCAACGCGGGGACCACAAAGGGAAAGGTAAGAAAAATGGTCGTTTCTGGAATATATATATTTTTTTAAATAAATAAATGTTGTCTTGTACACTGCAGAGGCTTACAGTGTCGTCAGCTGTTAGCTCAGACTGTGTGTTGCCGACTACACCGCTTCTTGTTTATGTCTTGTTGTAGAAACGAACCACTGTCCGCTTTCAGCTCGTCACGCAGGTTTTTTTTCTTTAAATTACTCTTTAAGATTACTCATATGTTAAAGAAAAAACAGGATATAAACCTGCGTATTATCTGCAAGCGACGAGCTGAAGCCATATCAAATACTTGCAGCCATATAATGAAGGCGTAACCACTCACTCGTGCCATGTTGATGGTCAACAGTCCACACACTCAAGAAACCATTTATGGCAAGATTTTAGTTTGGCTGATTGCAGGTCTTTGAAGGCTATAGTAATTTAAATTATGCAATTTGAACTCAGGAAGGGAGCTGAATATCCAAAATACCTCGTCATCATAATATTGAACATGTTTATTAGTTATATCCTCATGATGGTGTAATAAAAACGGCAACATCAAATCTCTGATGCTTTGTGTTGTAGATCCCACATTTGGTCATATTGCTGGATCAAACAACAGCAGTTCTTAAAACTATTCTTTTCCGATTCATAAAAAAATTTCTAATTCAGGTCATCTGATTCATCTGTTGGAATCTCTGGTATTGAGCTGATTTATTGGTTGTAATTAAATATCCATGTGTCATTCCAGAACTAAAACAGAATTTGCCCCACCCTCTACACACTTTTGGCTGAGGAGCCTGCAGAGCTTGTCTGAACCTGCCCGCTGCTGCAGGTTTAGTGGAGACATACCTGTACTGTGCCATGGCTCTGTTGACCCTGCATAGGATCCCATCCATCGCCACCGCTCCCGTGAGTTCAGCTTTTTGCAATCTTTAGTTGACATAAACAAGTGGGTTACATTGCGTTATCTAGTCAGATTTGTGAAGGTTTTTTTCTTTTCTTTATAAATAATGATGCAGAACTAAGTGAGTAAGAAGTGTTAATAATGGAGGACCCTTCAAGTTCTGCATGAAGAGAAGTTGGTCCTGATTATGTGCCTTTGTGGATTTTAGCACAAAAATAGCCTGAATAATAAAGAGCCTGCGGTGTTTCTCAGGGCTGTGAGTGCATCAATGGGTTTACAGATAAACATCTATACTCTCATCAAAAGAATTCCCTGAGTGATTGGATCGTCTTCTGTCAGTCTGAACTCTCACTGCCACGGTAGTAGTTTAATGCACACATATTTACATAAGGCATATAACCACACAACCACTGTATCACCAGCATCTGTCTTTAACTCTCATGTTGTCTCATGAATTGAACTAGCTTTACTTCACAGTCTTCGTCATTGCCAACTTAACCATAACCGACTAAATTGTTGCTCTTATCTTTTTGCATACATTGTCACAGAATCGAATCGCTTTATTATCTTAACCTGTGCTTTCTCTTTTATTTTTTCTTCTTCAAACCCTCATCGTTCCTCTCCTGGCTCCTGCCCTCTTCTCTTCTTTATTATTTTTTTTTTCTTGACTCTGTCTGGACTTGTCAGTTGCGTAACAGGTAATGTTACTGAATGTTACTGTCTCCAGTTTCTTTCTCTGTAAACTTTTGTTGCTACTGCCCCCCCCCCCCCAACCTCTCACTCTTTTATTGTTATATCGGTTTTGTTACTTAAAATATATGTACTTCTCTTCTTCCCCTTCAGTGTGTCCTTCCCTTTGTTCACATGTCACTCTGTATCTGTCTCTTCAGACCTCACTTCAGTCTTCCTCTGCATCTTATCTATGTTGCACCATATTTCACCCAAACAGTCCACAAGCAGTTACAGAACATGTTTTCCGGCCTCTTGTGTATACATTTTTCTAACAGGAAAAACGTTGCACACACTTTCTCCTCCTTTTTGTATCAAGTTAGAAATCAGTCCTTTTGGGAGCATTAGATATAGTGAATTGTAATGTGTAGTGTATATAGTGTTCTTGTGTGTTTTTTTTCATTTGGATTTGTGTGATACTTCAGCATCAGCTTTGTTAGAAGGTGGATGTTAATATGACAACTCTTCTTTACAGTTACAAACAGGCTGCACAGCAGATATTTAACACACTGTTTGACCTAAAACTTAAAATAAGACTTTTCATAATCTTAAAACCTGTCACTTTTAAAACAAAAAAGTATGAAAGCAAGATAGCAAAATGGGGTTTGTAGCAAATTAAAAAAAAGGAATCTCAGCTCCAAAACAACTGAAGAGGTTATGTGTGATATTTAGTATTCTTCATGACATGAGGCATCCTTGTATTTTATTTTATTTTCAAAGGATGAAGGCTTCAAAAACCGAGGAAGACTTCAGAAAAGGTAGATGCACTCCTGTCTGGTCCTTGAATTGTAATCCAACAAAAATGATTCCCAGTTAGAAGATCCCAGTAGCATCATGCTAACTGATCATTGTCTGTGTGTAGAGAGAGCTTTGCCCTTGTGAAGGGGGCTGTCCTTCAGCTGGAAGAGGGCGAGAGAGAGTGCCTTGACGAGGAGACCTCTCCAGGGAAAGAACGTGATGAAGCGTCAGACAAACGCCACAGGCAGATTCATGCCATGGTGGAACAGCTCAGACCAGAAGATACAATCAAGCTGGTGAGGACGTGTGTTTACGTGCACTATTTGCAAAATCAGATCAGGAACAAAGTGGTGTTTACTTATCTCCCATAAGTATATATCAGTACGCTGAGTTCACCCTAGGGCTGAGGCTGTTCTTATGCAGTGGATCGGGTATATGCAATGGTGTGACACATGCACAATGGATTCCTTGTTTTTACGGCATGATATACATTAATCGTCTATGCTCTCAGCTACATGAATACATTTATTCAGCTGGTTGCCAAACCCAGCTTTCATTGCCACAGCCTCCCTGGTCCCATGCTCCCTTACATAAATAATTCCACACAGTTTGGTTTAGAGATTATGGGAGCTGAAGAGCATGGTGTCGTCAGTGACAAACATGGTAACAAATAAAACAATCAGACCCAGTTTAGACTGTTCACCTCTTCTCTATTAGAAGAAATGTCTGCATTTTTACATTCAGCAGAGACCAGAGAGTCACACAAGCAGGAGGCTCCAGCCTTGTCATTGGTCATGTAGATTACCTGTGAATAACAAGCGTTTGATTGGATGAACCAGAGCAGAGAATCAGAGTGCTAACCATCACACACACACACACATCACACCTTATCAATGTGATATACAACCCCAAATTCAAAAAAAGTTGGTGTGTTGTGTAAAAAGTGAATAAAGACATAATGAGATTATTTGCGAAACATTAAAACGCCATAGGAGTTCTATTTGATTTTAAAATTACACAAAGACAACATGTCTACTGTTAAAACTTAGAAATGACATTCTTTTTGACAACATGTTTTAAAAATGTCAGAAAGAGTATCCCAGAGAGGCTGAGTCTTTCTGAAGGAAAGATGGGGAGGGATACACCAGTCTGTGAAAGACTGAAAATTACATAGAATGATCTAAAGATTCCAATAATCTTGAGAGCAGGGGACAAGACCAAAAACCAATATTGGGTGGCAATGATGTTCAGGTCCAGTGATGGCTCTGGCTTAAAAACAGACATGATTCTTGAGTGGACATCACTGCATGGCTTTAGTAGCTCTTCCAAAAACCATTGTCAGTATACACATGGCATCCCTACATTCATAACTATAAGCTGAAGCTTGACCATGCAAAGAGGAAACTGTTTATAAATCAGATCCAGAAATGCTGCCGCTTTCTCTGAGTCCAGTCTCATTTAAAATGGACTGAGGCAAATCGAAAGATCCTGGACGCCCCATTCTCTTGGCTTAAGAGGACAGGGACCATCCAGCTTGTTATCAGCGCACAGTTGACTTGTCACCCATTGAAAATGTTTGGAGCATTATGAAGCGTAACAAAAGGCAAAGGAGACTCTAAACTGCTGAACATCTCAAATCCTACAACAAGCAAGAATGGTAAAACATTCATCTTCCAAAATTACAGAAAATTCCATGGCAGGAAAATACCCAAAAGGAAGTTATTTTTTTCACTGTGTGCAGTTAAACTTTTTTATTTGGGTTAATGGGCAACGTAAAACCTGAGAGAAAAGATCGACATTTTATTGATTTTAGATGTTTGCACTCCTGTTTCTTCCTCACTCTGCTTTCAGTATTTTACGCCTTCTTGTTCTCTGCACTCTGTCATGCAGGCAGTGCAGTTGGAGTCCATCAGCTCGGTCAGAGTCAGATATCTGATCGTTGTCTCCACCCTCGGAAACAAACAGGAGAGCATCCTGCTGGGAATGGATTTCCCCAACTCAGACAGGTGTGTGTAACTAAGAAGCTGGTGTTATGTGTCAGAACGAAAGCACAAGATAAGAAAGGTCAATTTAGCTAATACAGTGTCGTTTTAGTATTTCCTTACCTCGGGTCTCTGTGTCCTCCCTCTCTGCAGTGATCAGTGCACCATCGGCCTGGTTCTTCCTGTATGGAGCGACACACAGGTTTACCTGGACGGAGACGGGTAAGAAACATTTCAAACAGGAACGAGGATCACATTTTAAAGCACGAGCAAGGAGTTTTTTTTAAGAGGCTGCAGCACAGACGCAGCAGACTGATGTCTGGGCCACCAGCCAGAGATAATGTGAAGGAGTAATGTGTCTATTTATGGAGCCGAATCATTCCTAATACATTTCACTCTCTCAGACCCTTATACGTATAAGCAGGGGATCATGATTGTTTTGCAATGAAAAGAAAGTAGAGTGTTTGCTTCTGTGTTCAGGGAAATCAAATATAGAACACTAAATGTTGCTACTTGTAACTGTTAGTGTCATTTTTAGTGACCTGGGATTGTTATTAACCAGCTATGATTTGGGGCTTTTCATTTGCTTCAGGCTACTGGTCACACTGTTGGCTTTAAATGTGGAGACACTTTATCTGTTGATTACCGGGAGAAAGTAAAGAAAGGAGCTTCAAAACTAGCACTTCCAAAATGATCTATGCTCTCACAGTGTGATGGATCGATTGTGTTTTAACTACTGAGCTGTCATAGTTTGGTGTGACATGTAAGAAACACTCTGCATGTTCACCCACATTTGGCAGAATCACACCTCTAACCCACGCTAATGCTCTCTCTGTGTCTCTCTCTCTCTCGCTTTCTCTCTCTCTCTCCCTCTCTTTCACACACTTTCTCTCTCTATCCTCACATGTTCATCCACTTCACAAGAACTGTCACAAATTTACACTGAATAAATGAATAATCTCTCTGTCTGTCCAACAATGCTTCCTGTCATCCAAACTTTCTCTGATGTGCTACTCATTACTCATATGTCTGTCCTTTTTTCCCACAGTGGTTTCAGTGTGACCTCAGCTGAAGAGTCCAGAATTTTTAAGCCTGTTTCCATGCAGACCATGTGGTGAGAAATGCTGACACCCTTGAGTCACTGTCAATGACGTCAGTGCCTTGACAACGGCACTGAGCGCATCACTTCAACTGAACTGTCACATTCTTCACCAGCAATGAAATTACTATTTTGAAGCGGGGTTGTTTGGGGTACTTATCAACTGTCAGTCTATGTATTACTCATCCTGTGTACAGCTGTACATAGCTTAGCTTTTGTGTAAGAAATCTGGTTTCCTTTTTCGAACAGGAGCCTCACTGACTGTCATCTACTTAAGGTTAAACACAGACTATTAGTTAGAACCTCATACAACAGCTTTAGCAGCTTTAGAGGTGCTAAAGAGCTGCGAAAGTGTGTTTTCAACTTCTGTTGCCTGTTTTAAGATTTCCATTGGTCTCATGCATAAATTATCACCTGCCCTAATACTTACCATCTGCGTGGCTGTAAGGTCAGTGTTGCAGGCGTTGCACGGCTGCTGTGAGCGGGCAGTGAATGCCGCTGTGATCCCAGGAAATGGCCTCGAGTGGGCCGAACACTATCACCAACACATCAAGTCAGACCGGTTCTGCCTCAACGAGTGGGAGGCCATGAACGACCTGGAGTCGGTCCGCAGGGACAGTGATGGACAGACGTAAGAAGAAGAAAAAAAGTTGAAACAAAATAATGGTAAATTCTTGTGGTCACATGTCTGCCGGTGCTCATTTTTCTCCTCATGGTGTGAAAAGCTCTGCAGAACGGACTTCTTGTGAAGGACTGATCAAAGAGCACCTGAGAGACATCATGAGGACTGAAGACCTGGATAACCTCACATCTAAAATGGTGAGACACAAAAAAGAGGAAGTTGGTACTACACTTGAGTATAGTAGAGCATGCTTGAAGAAATCAAATGTTTTTGTACTTGCTTTAATCTTTCCTTAGGTGCACTCTGCCCTGAAGACCAGGATCGGCTTCGACATGAGACCCTATACGGAGTACATTGACAATGAGATCCTGGTCACCATGGCTCAGATGGACAAACCCTCCAAAATATTTGACCACCTTTATCTGGTGAGTGATGGTTTGCATTCAGAGACTGTACTTTTTTGTTTTTGTTTGACCCTCAAACCGAGAGTCTCTTCTTAAACTTCAGTCAATTCTCTGACGGAAATCTGCTTTCAATAGGATTTTCATGTGACTGTTACTTCCTCTATTTGGGAGATGTGTGTTGACAGCGATAGGGAAGACAACTGTGTAGGCCCTTTTCTTTTTTTTTTGCCTTCTGTGCCCTAGACTGAACCTCTCCACCTCCTCTGGTTTCAGGGCTCTGAGTGGAACGCAGCTAACTTCGAGGAGCTGCAGAAAAACAAGTCAGTGATTCCAACTGCAACCCTTAATGCAGCTCGGTGTACTGTTTCCTCCTGGCATGGTTAATACCCATTGTGCATTATCTTATTCTGAATCACCACTCTGTGTCTGTGTGTTTTTTTTCAGTGTGGGCTATATTCTAAATATAACGAGGGAGATCGACAACTTTTTCCCAGAGTCCTTCATTTATATGAACATCAGAGTGTATGATGTAGAAGCCACCGACCTGCTGTTTCACTGGCCGGACACGTACAACTTCATCAACACTGCAAGGTTGTCCTGAAGATCCACAGACATCAGAAAGAGCATAAAATACACACTAGTGAAGACGCATTATACTTTTAAATTACATCAGAAGTCAGAAGGGGAAACTAAAATAATTTGTGCCGACACGCGATAGAAAAAAAGCTTTCTGTATTGTTACACAATACCAGGGCAGTTTGTCAACAGTCCTTTCAAAGCAAGAGTTGTGTATTTTATGGAAAAACACTAATTGACTTTATAGTAGAGTTACAGTACATTTACAGTTACAGTAAACTGATATCACTTTGAGCATTTCTGCCGAATATGAAGCATGACACTCAAGATGGTTAGCTTAGCACAAAGACTAGCAGTGGAGGGAAGTCAAGCTGTCAGCGGTTCCAAAATAAGCACCTCTAAAGCTGCCAGACTATATCTAGGCTCTTAGCAGTTGCCAGGCTACCAGTGGATACTCTATTAAAAAATAGTCCCAAATATAACACCCTGAGGTGGGGAAAAACAGCTTATTGTTCACACATGGGACATTCTGTTTTATAGAGGGCTTTGAGGTTGCAGGAAGGTGTATTTGTATTTAACCTTTCAGACAGAGCCAGATTAGCGGTCTCCTAAGGGTCTTCTAATCTAATCCACCAGAAAGTGGATACATGTTTTACAAAATGAATCAGTGTTTCTTTACATGATAAACTTTACTTTACATCCAGTTTTGCAGCTTTGTGATGTCACACAATGACTTTGTGCTCTCCTTTTATTATTTAATTGCATCGCATTTTGTGGCCACATAAACATGCAAAATGCAGCAGGGTATCTTTGGATTTATAACCTTTATCCTTCCTATTTTTAAAGTTCAATCACCAAAAACCAAGAAGCAATCTTTTTTTTTTTTACGTTTGTGTGTTATAGAAGAAGTGGACAGGCGGTGTTGGTGCACTGTAAGATGGGTGTTTCTCGATCTGCATCTACTGTGATTGCATATGCCATGAAGCAGGAACGCTGGACTATGGATGTGGCGATGAACTATGTTAGAGACCGCCGGTCCATCATAAAGCCCAACGAGGGCTTCATGAAACAGCTCCAGACCTACAATGGCATCCTCGTTGCAAGGTGAGGCTTTCCATCAGCTGTGATGTTCTATGTGATAAAAGCAGAAATATACATCCAGCATATTTATGAGCTTGCCAATTTATTTGACTTTCAAGGTTTGTTGATATTTGGGTTTATATGAAGATGGTTGTGCTGTACGTTCTTCATCTTTTCAGCCAGCAGCGCCACAGCGCTCTCTGGAGGCGAAAGTCTAGAGACCAAAGGCAAAAGTCGGTGCGCAACAAGGAGGAAGGAGAGGAAGAAAAGCCAGAGGACAAAGAAGAGGAAGAGGAAGAGGAGGATGATGATGAGGAACTTGAATTTGACGAGGAGGATGAGGAGAGTGCAGATGAAAAAGAAGATTCAGCAGAAGATACTGAGGTATTTAAATACATCAATATTTTTTCATTAGTAATTCAAGCAACAATGTGTAACTTCCACCTTAAAATAGTCGTTTCAAAGTCGACCTAATAGTACAACAACTTAAAACAGGCAGAACAGCGTCACTCCCATGTCCACAGATCGCCCTGGTCGCCTACTGTAGCTCTTTGTAAGTTTGGGACTTTGGGGTTCTGGTGCGTCGAGTACATACGACACTAGCCATTTTACCCCACCTTAGTACGTTTGATACAATGGCTGAGGCTAACAGCACTGCACGTCTTATGACAGTGCAGTTGCACTCTGAGACCTTCAGTTGGCGCCAAAGAGCACCAAACTGAATTTTCTTCTTCATCTTCCCTCATCCATCCAGGTGTTTACTGGGCCCTCACAGATGTCTGACACCAACCAAGGACCCAGTCAGATGGGACCAACTGATGCCAGTCCTGTAATCACAATAAATGAACCAGACAAGGTAAGCACACTTTCTGTTTCTGTGTTTTTTTACTCACTGCACTTGAAGAAATGTATCTTCACTGGGTTTTTTTTATTGGTCACTGTTTTTTTTTTTTTTTTTCTCCTTCTCATCTCAAGGTTGCTGCAAGTGTTAATCGCAGTGGCAGGATGAACCTCTTCTCCCTCATGCAGTCCATCAGTGACCTGGATGATGTGGATAAAGGACAGGTAAATAAAGCCCTGTCGTCTTCCTTTAAAACTCTGTACTGTGCAAACACCAATAGCTGCTCTGTGAGTTTAGAACATTTTGACAACCCTTGTGTATAAAAAAAAAAGAGGTACAGGATACCTGGACTAAAGCACTAAAGGAATTGTGAATCCACTGTTTTCTTCTGAGTCTATTGGTTCTGTTCAAAACTGTCCACTCAACTAGTTGTCTTTTAAAGTGGAAAGTTACGATCCAGGAAACATTTAAATGTCCAGTTTCTACATGTGAACTGGTTGTAATGTTACAGCTTTTGTTGCTATGAGTCGCTAACGTAAGTGAAGGCTGCAACTTAACCTTTAACTATAAAATTATAACACTTTTTTAATTAATTAATTAATTAATATTTGTCTAATCTAATTAATAAAGATTTATTTAAAGCTAAATTTGGGGCTGTGAAAATTTAGCTTTAAAAAATCTCCTTTTGTCCATCATTCTGAAAATCACAGCCTCTTAAGGTATTATCATAAATAACACAGAAGCAGTAAATCATTACTTCTAAGAGCTTTCAACCAGCAAACGTTTGACATTTTGCTTGGAAAAAAAACGGAAATACCAAAAATTGTCAAATGTTTGCCATTTATTTTCTTCTAATCATCTAATTGTACCTGAAGATGTGTGCCAGTACACATTCATTTCCTCTGAGCTTTAATCTATGCCTTCACATTTTGTTCTTTTCAAAGCTGCCTGGCAGCCCAAGGCGGTCTCCACGGCAGCGGAGACGTAGCCAGGGGAGACGGGGTCTCTCTCACCAAAGGGCATGTGTGGATGTTTCACCTGAACCAGGGAGTTTGCGGGACAGCGGACAAAGTGAACCCTAAAGTGATCAAAGCGGTGAGAGAGCAGCGATTTACAGGAGGGAGGGAGACGAGAAGGGGAGAAAACACATTTGATGATGGAGTCCACACCTGAATAATGTGCTCCAGTAACATGCCAAGGTTCCTTTATACACGATAAGTTCTGGCTTTTTGTTTCGATTTTATAAGCTTTAATTTATGTTTTTTCATTTCTTTGTTCACTTTTCATCAAAGTGTAAATTGTATTGTGTTTTTGTATACTATCTTCAGAACATAACTTACCACATTTAGAAGAACAGGTCTCTCCCTCTGTGGTGCGTCTCCCTTGTTCCGTACTTTGGCTCTTCTGTCATCACTCCAGAGATATCTATGCAATTACTGTTCTCCTTTCCTTTGTTAATGTGATGCTGTATGCTGCTGATTCAAGGCAGACCGTTTTAAATGTGTCTTATATTCTTATCAGAAGTCTTTTCCAGGTTGTCCACAGACGGGACAAATTCACTGTATCCAAGCTGTTTATTAATTACCAAGTCAGTGCCAGTTTAATGGCATGAATCTGTTTGCCAAACAATTTATTCCTATGTGCCAATGAATATATATAATGTTTTCAATCTTTATTGTCAGTACTTTGTTAGAAAAGGAATGTCTTTTTTCTTTTAATCACCAGGACTGTATGAGTGCCTTCAGCCTGAGAAACATGACCCTGTGATGGTGTTTTTAATGGTTTTACTACAATGTGGAGGCTGTATATTGTTTGTATCCTCTGCTGTTTCTCACTTGGTGTGATTGCAGTATAAATGTAATTCCCAAAGTTATGCATGTACACGTAATGCGTATGTAACTGCTGATTTCCTGTGAGCATGTTAATTGTTTTTATACCGACATGCAAGACCAACTTGTTCAGGGTTTTCTGTATTTATATATACCTTCTTATGGGTAAATTATTCAGTACACTGTTTTAAAATCTGAGGATCACTCGATGCTGATGTATGAATATTCCCATTTTAAGCTAATGAACCCAAGCTAATTTACATTTAATTTGCATGCTCACCAATGAAGAAAACATGCACTTTATAATCCCACAACCAGAGGTGTCAAAAGTATTCACATTCATTACTCAGGTAGAAGTATAGATACTTGGGTTTAAAAAGACTTCTGTAGAAATTGAAGTATCAACTCAAGCTTTTTACTCAAGTAAAAGTGTAAAAGTACTCATTTCAAAACTACTTAAAGTATAAAAGTAAAAGTAATGTCAGAGGAAAAAAATGCCATTAAGGACAAAAGCTTAGGCCACGCACAGGGGCCTATAGTGCACTACCCCACCTCCCCAAAAAAAACATTTTTCTAAAGGCCATAATGTTATATTAAAATGTTGATGTTGAAAAATTTGGCCTTTATTGGAGTGTAAATGTACAAACTTGGGACATTTCGCTCAAGTTCTCTTGAGTCTCTGCCACGGACATCTTCGTACTAGGCTACATACGTCTGCTATTTCCTTGCTGAAGTGTGAAGTGATTTGTGTCATGTGCAAGTGCGATGGCTCCCGTACAAACCAATAGTGTCGGAATGGTATATGTTTATACTTCTCATCCAACCACAATCAGATTTCACTCTATCCGGATGGCGCGATTTATCTGGATAGGTTTTTTTTGTGTTTTTTTAACGATGACAAGCCGGACTGAAAACAAACCGATATGAAATATGAGTAACGAGGCTATTTTTTAAATGTAAGGAGTAGAAAGTACAGATAATTGTGTGAAAATGTAAGGAGTAGAAGTAAAAAGTCGGCTGAAAAATAATTACTCCAGTAAAGTATAGATACCCAAAATTTCTACTTAAGTTACTTGACACCTCTGCCCACAACACACACTGTTCACACTGCCTGAGCCAACATCTAGTTGTGTTATGATTAAAGGATTCTTTTTCAATATCCTGTCCATGTCTTATGTCACTGGTTCCCAGTGGGTCCTTGGAGGGGCTCAGATTTTCTTACAAGCAGGCGGAGCTCCCAAGGACAAGAAGTTGGGAACCACTATGTTAAGCTCTGCACACTCTGAACCTCTGCCGCTTCAAATGAGCACTAAGAGAGGAAAATATAGATTATATTCAAATTAACTGTGTTGTAATTTTTCTTTATGAATAATGCACCAGAGGATAACTGATTTGTTCACAGATATTTTATACACAAGAGAAAAACACAACTTCCATTTTATTTGATTTTTCTTTCCAGAGTGTTGGCGCTGGTCACTTTATCTCAGCATAGCCACACTTTCAAGAGCTGTGAGGAAGGGGAAGTAGACGGTTTAACAAAACAGCTTAAGTGATAGATTCAGGTACCAATGTGTTTTCTTCTGGGTTCACTGAGAATAATTCCTCCTTCTTTCATCGCTGTCCTGAAAGACTGAACCTATAAAAGAAAAGGAAAACATGGTTTAAGGGGGAAAAAAGACAAATCAAAGAAATTAACAAATTCTGTATGAACTCACAGCATTAGAGCGATACGCCCAGGGAATTTCCCTGTAAACCATCCGGGTGATGCCAGCCTGCTGGCATCGCTGTGCCAGCACCTCGCCCACAGCCTGACATGCTGCCACGCAGCGTGTGGAAGGCAGCTCCTTTTTCACCGCCCACTCTTGAGTGGAACAGGTAACCACCGGGTCAGAAGAGGTGCTGGAGAACACTTCTGCCGTCACATGGTGCTGAGTGCGAGAAAACACCAGCCTGGAAAGATTAGAGAGACCATCATGATAAAGCAGAACATAGATACACAAGAGGAATACCATGGGAGGAATTATACTCAGTAGAAGTAGATGCTTAGCAAAACACTTTGTAACTAAAATTATTAAAGAGAAAATCACAATTTTGGCTGCAATTATATTCTCTACATATTCAGTAAAAGAAGATTTATGAAACACAACATTAACATTTTGACAGACCAAGAATAGTACAATTCTATCAGTTCAGCAGACAGACCTGCATAATGACACACCTGTGGTAGACCTGCATAATGACACACCTGTGGTAGACCTACATAATGACACACCTGTGGTAGACCTACATAATGACACACCTGTGGTAGACCTACACAATGACACACCTGTGGTAGACCTACATAATGACACACCTGTGGTAGACCTACACAATGACACACCTGTGGTAGACCTACATAATGACACACCTGTGGTAGACCTACACAATGACACACCTGTGGTAGACCTACATAATGACACACCTGTGGTAGACCTACACAATGACACACCTGTGGTATAACTACACAATGACACACCTGTGGTATAACTACACAATGACACACCTGTGGTAGACCTACACAATGACACACCTGTGGTATAACTACACAATGACACACCTGTGGTAGACCTACACAATGACACACCTGTGACAGACCTACATAATGACATACCTGTGGTAGACCTACATAATGACATACCTGTGGTAGACCTACATAATGACACACCTGTGATAGACCTACATAATGACACACCTGTGATAGACCTACATAATGACACACCTGTGATAGACCTACACAATGACACACCTGTGATAGACCTACACAATGACACACCTGTGGTAGACCTACACAATGACACACCTGTGGTAGACCTACACAATGACACACCTGTGGTAGACCTACATAATGACACACCTGTGATAGACCTACATAATGACACACCTGTGATAGACCTACATAATGACACACCTGTGGTAGACCTACATAATGACATACCTGTGGTAGACCTACATAATGACACACCTGTGATAGACCTACATAATGACACACCTGTGGTAGACCTACATAATGACATACCTGTGGTAGACCTACATAATGACATACCTGTGGTAGACCTACATAATGACATACCTGTGATAGACCTACATAATGACACACCTGTGATAGACCTACATAATGACACACCTGTGATAGACCTGCATAATGACACACCTGTGGTAGACCTACATAATGACACACCTGTGGTAGACCTACATAATGACATACCTGTGATAGACCTACACAATGACACACCTGTGGTAGACCTACACAATGACACACCTGTGGTAGACCTACATAATGACACACCTGTGATAGACCTGCATAATGACACACCTGTGGTAGACCTGCATAATGACACACCTGTGGTAGACCTACATAATGACACACCTGTGATAGACCTGCATAATGACACACCTGTGGTAGACCTGCATAATGACACACCTGTGGTAGACCTACATAATGACACACCTGTGGTAGACCTGCATAATGACACACCTGTGATAGAACTCCCTGTGGGGCCAGCTGGTCTTCCAGCCTCGGTCCTTCACAGCCAGAGCCAGCTGCTCCAGGTTCCGGGGGTTTCTGTTCTCAAAGGTCGGATTCACGGCTTCGTTATGCTCAGCGCTGGGCTCCGGCTCAGAGGCTGCCTGACTCAAACATCGAGCTGGAGTTTAAAATAATGAAAAGTCACATTACTGTCAGTCAGTCAGGATGCGTGGTCCAAATATAACCATGTGTTGAAGTAGGTCACGTTAATTTAAAAAGTAGCATGTATCCGGGTAACTGTAACAAACATTACTTACCTGTTTGATTAGAAACTACAGCCGGACGACTTTGATGAATTTGACCCAAAAGCTGCCGGACACTGCGACATATTCCTCTTAAAGCCATTCCCCTCTCAACTGTATTCAAATCTAAAACTGAAATATATAATTTACAGTCGAAAAAGCTTTCTATTCATCGAAATATTACAGCATGCCATTCAACCCCAGGCTTCAGACAAGAATCCACTCCGCCGTGCGGGTCGCCATCTTTGACATTCGGACAACATCCGGTTGGATAATTGGTGCTACTTTACAAACAGCCCTAACAAAAGCAGATGTTAGCGATCCAAAGGTTCCGCTTGCATGTTTTCATTTATGAGGTTCAAAAAAATGTCACTGTCAGTTCAACTATTGACTCTACCTTTATAGACGACAAAGACATGTTTATTTCTGCTTTTATTTATTTGTTGCGTTCTTTATATATTATTTATTTTATTTGTATATATGTATGCATATATATATTTCTCTCTTGTGGACGTTGTGATCTGAAGTTTTTTTTTCTTTTTTAATGTATTGTACAGCACTTTGGTCAGCTGTAGCTGTTTTTAAATGTGCTTTATAGATAAATTTGATTTGACTTATTTCCTTTTTCTCAACCAACACAGTTGTTTGTGTAAATTCAGCTCTTGTGTAGCCTGGCCGTGTTGTGAAACTTGTATTGATTTTGTCTCTATGTAATTCATTTCATTAGACACTATCTCTAGGTGAGATGGGGAAAATGAGGTGTGTTTTTTTAATTATTTTAATAATTTTATTTGGCAAATGTTTAATAGATTTATCCCCTTTTAATAGAAGAGGATAACTGAGCTCTTATAATTGTAATCTTCCATTTTCTTTACTTAAGTTAAAAACACTTTATAAAGTTTGGTATCAACATATCATAAGGTAGCCTTTCACCACATTCACTTTAACTTGCGGAATTGACTTTGTAATAATACTTAATTTTTGTACATTTCTATGGCCTGTAATATTGAATTGAAATGACCTGTAATTCTGATGTTTTGATGTGTCATTATACATGTAGTCATATGATGTTACATTGTGTGGTAAGTGTGAGGGATGATCTCAACAAGGTAAGAGGTAGATTGTAGGTCAATGATCTCTATTCATAGTAATATATACTCTGATAAACATCTTTTTGACAGTATAGAATAGAATTACTTTATTGATCCCAAACTGGGAAATTGTGGCGTTACAGCAGCAGGTTATCCAACACATAATGAGTAAAAAACACAATATTAGCAATCTAAACACAATATAATATTAACTACAAAGTAAATAAGTACTAAAAAAAATATCAAAAATAGGAATGTGAATATATACAACCAGGATTTAACTAAGCATTACTAGTCTTAAATAGGAAGATTAAATATGGAAGAGTTTGGGAACTCCAAACTTTTTTTATTTTATTTTATAAAATTACAGAAAGATTATGTCAACCAGCCTGTGTCGTTAATGAAACCTTGTACCTGTAATCCCATTTTCGGCCTTAGTGTGGCAGTAACGAGTAATGAAGTTTTAGTTACGACCGCTGGATGTGAAAACGAGGAAGTGCCCGGACAGCAGCTGAAAATCTGAAAACCTGCTAGAAATCGCTTGTGAATATTATAAATTCCGTGGCAGGTGAGATTATTATTATTATTTTTTTACAATGCCATTTAAATACACCAAACCTTTAAATTATTTCGTATACTGAATTTGTGTAAAAGGATAATTAGCGAGCGTTTGTGTATGTGTGTTTATCTGTGTGTGTGTGTGTGTTTGTGTTTGTGTGTGTGTTTATCTGTGTGTGTAAACTGAAGTTAGCGTGTTATCTCGTTTAGCTGTGGATCAAAACAATCTACGTTTACTAATGTTGTTGCTTCAAATATGTTTCCTTTCCTTAGTTTCCTTTCCTTAGTCATGTCTTCTCTCTGACTCTGTTGTCTGCTGTCAGACAACCTGAACTCCAAAGTGACCAAAACCTTTAACTTTTCTTTATCAAAGCAAACACAAGTCAGTGGTAGAAAAGTGGCAGTAGTTGAAATGAAACAAAACTTTTAAACATAATATTCTTCAAGTAGGTTTTTGGTGGTTGCTGGTATACAAAACGAAACTAACACATAGTTTTTTTTTGTATTGATGTGATGGTTAATTGTCCAACATATTACAGCAGTAAACATTAATACTCACAGACATAATAAGTAAGAAAAGGACCAGTACAAATAGCAGTTATCTGTCAATAAAATCAGGATAATTGCTCATGCAAGTTAAGCACTATCTGTCATTCTTGAAATGTGTAGACCTCAGTGGGGAACTACTTTTATTCTTCTGTATGTAGAGTGATTGAGAAAAATGCTTCTGAATATACTTCAAAAGACAATGATAAAGGCTCATTAACTGTAACTGCGCTCCAGCATTTTCCCATCTCCAAAAAACAAACATTTTAACAGTTTACTTGCTTCTCTTCAGAAATGGAGGCTGCAGGAGAGGAGACTATGGATGTTCAGGGAGCGGCAGCAGAGGAGCCGATCTTTCCTGGACATGGTCAGACTTCGGCTAAGCCAGTGTGGGCTTCGTTAGAGGAAGCAGCTCAGAAGAAGACGGAGTTGTTGTTTTTTTACCCACACATACGTATGTGTATATCTCTTTCAGCCTGTTTGCTGCAGAAACAGAGTGTTGACTATGCTCGTGTGCGGGAGTACAGCCTGCGGGTCTTGAAGTGGCGACCAGGTGACGTTAAAGCACTGTACAGGGCAGGAGTAGCCACTCTGGAGATGGGAGATGCGCAGGCTGCCAAACAGTACCTGACCCAGGCCTGCAGAGAGCAGCCTAATGGTAAGAAAAGAGCCGGCACATCAGGACTGTCCATTACAGTATATATTTTTTGATGTATAGCAAAATTGCCACATAACCACAATAAGTAGTCATAGTATTTACAGTGGTCACTGATTGGACAATAGAATTGAGGCGAACGATATAATTCAATTCAATTCAATTTATTTGTATAGCCTCAACTCATAACAAGTGTTATCTCAAGACACTTTACAAAAAGCAGGTAAAATACCTTACTCATTGTCTGTTAACATTACAAAAGAGCAGGTAAAAAGACCTTACTCATTGTTATATATATATATATATATATAGATATAGATATAGAGGGTAACAGTAAGTTAATGGAATGATGATACTGATCTTGTTTTATATTTGATATACATTAAGCTTCGAGAAGAAAAGATTGTTTGGACTCTAATCAGGTGATCCACTGTGAACACTCTGCTTAATTGATTCTCTTGGAGAAATAGAGGTTTCAGAAATGTGCTCAAGTAATTTCTTGTCATGGTATGAATGACACAATATATATTTTTTGATGTATAGCAAAATTGCCACATAACCACAATAAGTAGTCATAGTATTTACAGTGGTCACTGATTGGACAATAGAATTGAGGCGAACGATATAATTCAATTCAATTCAATTTATTTGTATAGCCTCAACTCATAACAAGTGTTATCTCAAGACACAAAAAGCAGGTAAAATACCTTACTCTTTGTCTGTTAACATTACAAAAGAGCAGGTAAAAAGACCTTACTCATTGTTATATATATATATATCTATATATATATATAGATATATATATAGATATAGATATAGAGGGTAACAGTAAGTTAATGGAATGATGATACTGATCTTGTTTTATATTTGATATACATTAAGCTTCGAGAAGAAAAGATTGTTTGGACTCTAATCAGGTGATCCACTGTGAACACTCTGCTTAATTGATTCTCTTGGAGAAATAGAGGTTTCAGAAATGTGCTCAAGTAATTTCTTGTCATGGTATGAATGACACAATCACTACCACACAGGGTTTAGCTTAAGGACATGGACAAGGCTAGCTCAAAGGTTCAGAGGGTCAAAAGGTCTCTGGTTAAACTTCTTATCACGGACATCGTCCCAAATTGATTGTCAGTCACTTACATTACGTGTTGCTCTGCAAATTCAGAGAATGCAAAAACCGATCTTGAATTTTGTGTACCAGTCAGTTTAATAATTCCTTGCTGATCTTTGCAAGACCAAGTATTTAACAAGTACAGAGGGATTGTTTAGCAACATGCTGATTTTCACCAAAGGACATTTGGGTATTTTACAGAGCTGATGCATTATATAAACCCAGCATAATTTGCCTTCTAGAAATATTTTATAACTTATGGGATGAAAGAAAGTCTAAACTTCTGATTTGTTTCTGTGACAGATGCCAATGTGAGGAAACACCTGCAGAGGGCAGAGGAGAAGCTGAATAAAGAGCTACAGAAAGAAAAGGCCATGTATCGAGGAATGTTTTCCTCCAGCCTGAAGAGCAGCTCAGTAGAAGAGATGAACCAAACCCACAGAACTGGTGAGGGAGTCTAGCCTGCTACCCTCATCCGAATACAGACTGTTCAACCTCAACTGATCACAAATCAACTGAAGAATGTCCCCACGTCTTGAACTACTTGTGCTCGTATGTCTTTTCAAGAGAAATGAGAGAAATGTGGATTATAGAGAATACTGACACGGTTAATGGAAAAGTAAAGATGCTGCTGCTGAAAATAGAAAGGATAGGACGGGAATGTCTGTTTCCTAGCAACAGGGACACAATGCTGTTTTTTAGCCAAAAAGGGCAGGGGTTTGAATATTTCATAAAAAATGCTTCTGAAAGCTATATGAGGACTCCTTATGCACTACTCAAAGTTCTGATCATGTTGTTTTGACTGGAGCTGTCTGGTCGGTGTTGTGAATGTGGATTTCTTTTTTTTTTTTCTTCAAGTAAAATAATTTTTGATAAATGACTTGAGAAGTCCTTTTAGCAGACTTATTTTTATAACATACTTTGAAATGTAGGTATTACAGGCACAGAACAGGTTTCATTATACATATATTTTAATCATGATTTGCCATGAAGACACATTTTGTCTTAAATAACTCAGCAGTATTAATGATTCAATATTTATTTGAAAATCCTGAGCACTATGTCAAGTTAAAGAGTATTTGCTTTGTTTTGGTCATTGTCTTGCCAATATGATTGTACTTCAGAGGCAATATTGCCAATAAACATCAAGAAAATCCCACTCTCACAATAGCTATAATTACTGAACGAGTTACAGAGCAGCATGCAGAAGAGGAATGTACACAAACACATTCATACTCAGGTCTATCGGAGGATTCAGTCATTATGTAACAAAGCTGCTTAGTGCTTACTGCTCATTGAACATATCTTTAATCTATATTCAATAACTTCCAATCAGGCTACATTTTAGCCACAAAACAATCCCAGAATGATGTTGTAATGTCAAATCGTTTGAAGCAGCATATATACTGTAAAACTCCCCTGATACTCATAATGATACCAATTTTATTAAGGGTTGTAGTTTTAAAGGAAGTTGTCATCTATGTTTCAATTGCTGACAATTGTTGGTGGGCAACGCTGCATCCTACAGTGCCTTTTCATTCTACTGTAGGTTACAAAGTTTACTACAATATATTGCCAGTGTGGAGAACTTTTGGAGGCAGTGCACTCGATACGAAGCACACAGATTATGCTACAGATCCAGTTTGGGAGAATTTGGCAGATTTGGGTGGCTATAAAACATCAACATGTTTTCAAAATGTACAAAGGATTTGAGTGAATGTCTAAGCCCCAGAACAAATTGAATTGATAAGACTCAATTGATGGTTGATAAAGGGACTTGCAGATAATTAATGACCAGAATTTGTACTTGTATCAATCATTTATCTTGGAAGCTTAAATTCTTAAAATGGTGGCACTTTGTTTTACATGAACTATAATACAATCCATTAGTAGTGTTCTGAACGCAACACATTGAAAATACATTTACTGAAATGTTCATCTATTATACAAGAGTCACTTTTTGGATGGCTTCCGTTTAAGACTCAGGGACCTCATTGAGCCAAACACTCTCCTTCCCAAGTCTCTTAGAGATCGAGAGCGCTGGAGGGGCATCTGCAGAGGAGGAGATGGAGAAAAGGAAGGTGAGGAGAGAGGGGAGACGGAGTGGCAGCTGCCTTCAAGACTCTGAGAACGAGAGAGGTTAAAGAGACTGGCCGTGGAGGACAGGTGTTTGTCTTCCTCTTTTGCTCGCAGCAGTCTGACCCCTTCACCTTTACTGATGTACATACCGCCTTGTCCGACATCTAATGAGGAGACCCAGTGTGCCCGCTTTGTGGGCTCCTTGCTGTGGTTACGAGGCATCAACAAGCCTTGGGACTCGCTCCTGAACAAAGCTCTCCTGGAAAGCCTGAGACTGGAGCTGCGTCTCTCCCCATCATCCTTCCCCCTTTTCTTCTGGAAAATGGGGGAGTTATCTACCTTTGGCTTCTTGTCATTACTGCCGGATGAAGCCTTCAGCTTTCGATGCTCTTCCTCCAGCTTCCAACACTGTTCCTCCTCCATCCATAGCCATACTCAGCTCTGTCCATCTCCTCCTTTTTGCTTTCCGAATCTTTCCCCCACATGCTTCCCTCAAAGCCCCCGAAGAGTTTGATGGATGTCTTCCTGGGAGTCTGGGCTGTTGATAATTCCATCTCCTGCTCTTCCCCCCAATCTGAGTGATAGTTCTCTCTCTTGCTGTAGCTGCTTACTGTAGCTGCCCTGACCAACTTGTGAGAGGCATGCTTTCCTCTGTAAAGCCCCTCCCCCTCCGATCTCTTCCACCCACCACTACCTGTGCCCACTCCCCCACTCTGTCGAAGGGATCCACCCCTATGTTGAATACCGCCGTGCTCCAAAGGAGAGCTCCTCATATTGGTGCGAGGCAGCGAGCACTGGAAGGGCGCGTCCCGACGGAAAACAGACAGCGGGGTGGCACCCAGAGGGGATGGCTGGAGAGGCCGAGGAGGTGAGCGGCCCCTGGGGTTTGGCCGGGACGCAGGAGAGGATGCTGTAGAAGAGGGCATGTCTGATGGGGAAGGGGTCTGCTGGTAATGGTAATGTGAAGAGTAGTGGGGAGAGGGAATAAGGTTGGAATGATAGGGGTGAATGGGGCTGCTGGAGTGTGAGAGAGGGGGAGTCAGGCTGGACTGAGACTGGGGAGAATGGGTCACACTGAGAGACAATTGTATTGGCCTCTGGGGATTCAAGTCAGTCAGTCTAGCATAGTCATGTGACTGATCTGTTTGAGCTGTCAGGTGAGTTTTACTGTGACCCCTCACCTCGCCTGCAGAATCTGTTTGAAAGCAGTCAATGTCCAGCTCCACACCTTGTTCCATCAGACCGACCACAACAGCCCTTGACAGTCCCGAGAGGCGGGAGATCTCCTCCACCATGGGGGAGTCTTCATGGACCTTGGGACTGGAACTGTACTCTTGGATCAAGCTGCTGCGCTGAGACCCAGGAGCTGATCCAGAGTTAGTACCAAACACTGATGGTCCAGTGTCGTTGGGAGCACCGCTGCTCCAGTCTAACGAGTGACAGAAGGCAGATGACCCAAATGCTGAAATAGGTCCAGGCCCTGAAGGGACTTCCAGGGAACTGCGGTGGCTCAAGCTGCTTGGACATGTTGAAATGCGAGGGCGAGGTCTAAGTGCTGGGGTGGGTGTAGCACAGGATAGTGGTGTAGCAGAGGTGGTGGAGGTAGCAGCAAAGTCACTCCTTAAAGCTCCACAACTGCCATTTTTGGAATTGTCCACCAGTGCCTGGCTGGAATTTAATCCAGGAGTCAGGTTCAAGTTGAGGTTGAGGTGTAGATTTATATTCAAGTCCTCTCCAGTTGCTGAAGGTAAGTTACCTAGGTTGATTGAATTCCTTGTTGCTTTTTTCCCGGTAGTGCTGAGGCTGACTCTGGCAGAGTTTCCAAGCAGCGACTTGCAGGGAGTGATGCTGAGTGTATTGCGGCTCTCGAAGGCAGAAAGGGACTGGGTGGAACCGTGACTTTTGCCAGGTGTGAAAAAGCCTCTGTTTGTGACAGCGCCAGAGGTTGCAGCTGAAGCAATATCTGAGGTGGAGGTGGTTAACCTACTGTGATACTGGTGAGCCAGTCGACATATGTATTGCTCCAGCTGGGTGAAAGAAGGTGAAGCAGTGGGCTTGTGAGGCTGGAGAGGCAAAGTCGGATCCGTGTTGGAGTCTTGTTGGTCATCTAGGTGGGCTCCTTCAGGGCTTTGAGATGGTGATTGCTCTTGGCTCTGGGAGGTGAAGAGGGGGCTCTGTAGGGCAACGGCATGCAGTGGGCTTGGATAAGGATACACCTCTTTGGTCCGACGGGATACCAGGTCTGTGCAATAGCGACGGTCCAGCTGGGGTTGTAGATTGAAGGAAGTGGTGCCTGACGGGGATGTGGGGTCAAGAAGTGGGAGGAGAGAAGGAATCAGGGAGTCACCAAGTTCTGAGCAGAGGTCGGCCAGAAAGCTCAGGCCAGTTTTGCTCAGGTCACTTTGGACTGTAAGAGAAAAGAAGAGTAACTGTTGACTGTTTGAGCCAGCTTATGTAATTTGCTGCAAATGTATAGTTGCATGGATGGATATACAGGATATAGCTTTACTGCTTGAAAAAGCTCACCTGTAACTGGGTATCTTCTGTCAGTGTATCCTCCTGGCTGTTCTGCAGTGCAGGCTGCTGCTGCTGCTGCTGCTGCACTGCACCTTCTGACCACAGGACATCAGTGTTTTCAGCAGACGGAGGAACCTGCTCCCACAGCTTCAGAGGTCTGGCCGGTGGCACCAAACCTCCTTGAGCAGCTTCACTGGTGAGTAGCAGAAAAAAGTCCCCTTATATGAAACCTTCCAGGTAAGGTTCAGTTAAATACTGAATCCAAATAATCTGCATGAGTACAATTGAAGGAATATGATTGGGTGAAGAGAAGTTAAATGGGTGTAGAGTGTGAACTCTGCAAAGTTGACAGGGGGAAAGAAATGAATCAGTCAGTGCCAAGTCACGGTAAAGGTCAACAAAAGGTTTTTTTTAAAAGCATGGTTTTTTAGTGGGATTTCTCTTATACTCAAGGTGAGCTGTTGTTTTGTTAGAAGGTGACAAACTGTGTTGGTCATTGTACAGGCAGGTGCTTTTGATCACTCTACTAGTAGTGTCAAGTAGTATGTGAGTGTTTGTAAGTTTACCTGAACTGGGTCGGGAGTCACTGTCCAGATGGATCATACCACAGGCGTCAGGTGTTGGTGGAGAGAGCAGATCAGAGGGAGCATCCCAGGACAGTGTTGACCAGCGGGAGTTACTCCCCCTGCCAGATGAGGTGTGGCCCATCCCTTCGCCTGAACTACTGCTACAGTCCTCCTGGCTGCTCCGACAGGGCATAACCACGTTATCTGAGTGAGATGGAGCCTGGTGAAACAAAAACATGATCGGTTAAGTCCAAGCAACATAAAGGAATTCAAAAAGTACAGTTTCTTTTACCGAAATCTATAATACATTGGCCATGATCAACACACATATACATATGGACATATGATAGAAAACCATTTGTTGTGTCGAGAGGGGCCCAACAGGCTAAAACTGTTGTAGTTGATAAAATAATTATTCATAAAACTTCAGCATTTAGAGCTCTGCAGCTTTTAAAACATGTAAATCTGTATCAATATCACGTGTTATTAAGTTTTAAATAACACCCTGCCCATAATCATTCAATTGGACAGAAGAAATGACACACAGATTTGAAATGTTTTAGTATGAAGGTGATATCATACCACCAGAAGATATTATATCATTATAAATGATTACCGGTACATTGTTATTTAAACATTACATGATATTGTAAAAAAAAAAAAGTTATATTAGTTCACAGTACTTCATGGAGTCCTTGAAAAAAATATGGAAGAAACTTGAAAAATAAACAATAAGCAGTGATAGAGGACACTGACCTTTCAATTAAAAAATACCAACGCAACATTGTAAAAATACAAAGTCCTCAAATGTAAATCTTTCCTTCGTAGAGGTATGGACGAATGATCAGCTAAATTAATTTAAACTATTAAAGTGGTGCGAAAACAGGGTCACCTGTGTATAATATATGAAGTCATTATATGTTATAGCAAAACTTTGAGAGAGTAGTTGTCTCCATAAACATTTAAAGAAGACAAACTAAACACTGCTCTACTGTAAGGCATCCCACAATAAAACGTAGAATACCAATGTTTTCATATTCAGTTATCAGTTTTATGTCATTTAAAATCTGAATTGGAAAACATTTTCATAACTGTATTTTTTACTGTCAGTAATGAGGCCCAGCACACAACAGCAACAATAACAGTCATCTTGTCAAGTTAGCAGAGTGCCTTCATTTTCTAGATTAGTAAGGGCTTGGTGGAGGAAACCCCTTCCTCCAACTATCTAATTATCTTCCAAATCCTCTTTACCCACCCCTCCAGGACAGCAGCTGAGGAGACCGGATTGAGCCGGGACAACAGAAACACTGTGAGCTGGTCGAATCAATCCTCTTGTTACTGAGGGAACAATACAGGTGACTCACTACTGGGGTGACAGGAGAGGAGGGGTTGAAAAGATAATGGTAGAAGACAGATGACGTAACAAAGAGCAGCCAGAGTGGCAGAAGGGAAGGAGTGAGGGGGGCGGGGAGTTGGAAGGAAGGGAAAGAAGTGAGAGAAAGAGTCACATACTTTGACCTGTATTTGGCTTATCTCCTTTTCTTTCTCTCAGCTCTGTAAAATGATAAGCCTCCGCTTACTTCTGTCCCGTTTTATTTTACTCTCTCAATGGCATCAAAAGTGAGTCGTGGCTGAGTGGGTGACCAAAAACAAGTGTAAGGGAAGAAATAAGAGACAGGAACTGGGAAAAAAAAAAGAGAGAGAGTGAGTCACTGAGTGAGTGAAGGCGGAGGGGATGAGGTAGGGAGGGGGGTGGGTAAGCGGTTGCCGGGTGAGAGAGAAGGGCATCTTGAAGGACCCCCACCTCCCCCACACCCTGACAAATAATCCCCCCCACCCACCCTCCCACTTCTGTAGTATTCTTCAAGCCCCGTACTCACCATAGCTACAGCTGAACACTATCCAACTCTTGCTCACCTCTCCTCCCACACAGAACCACAACAGCACGACGAATGGCGAAATGTTTAACTCATCCTCAGTTTGAACACACATGATTCAGTCTGGTTCTGACTCTGCTGTCTGTTGCTTCAAATTCCAGCTCACTGCAAATACGCTGCTGCACTTGTATGTGCTTCAAAGTTTTCCCCTTCTCTTATTCTATCTATTTAAAGGTCTAAATATGTGTAGTTTCATGTATGTCCTTCGACAAAGCCTCTGGTGCTCCATTGTACCCCCCCCCCCCATAAGATGATGTATTTCACTTAACAGGGTATAATGTTGCACAGAGACCAGTGCATGATCAAATCATGAAAGACTGATGGACAAGTGGGTGGGGGTTTGCTCAGAGCTCTGTAATATGATATGGCTCCATGTGAGGGAGCAGCTCTGCCTCTCTAAAACAGTATGTAGAAAATGTATGGGTTGATTGGATGATAATGCTACACAGTGATCACAGCTGCACAGAAATACACATCCTCTTCATTAGTCTATTATGTCACGGTTGTGGGAAAAATTGCAGCGGCTGCCATGCAGGGGCTGAATAATGTGGTCAAACAGTGTGGGACGAAGCGACTGGTTGGTGAGATGTACTTGCTTGTTCAACAGCGCCGTTAGTGTTTATTGTTTCATGCATTATTAATGTGCTATTGAAATTTAAAGACAGCCCACGCTGTGTGTCTTCATCTGAACCACCGAGCGGATTGATGTGCTTCCGTTTTATAAAAAAAGGAGAAGAAACATTCAGGGGAAATTTTCAGCAGCACAAGAAAGTATCAACATTAAGAAAAATAACGAGAACGAGACAAAGGCTGTTTCACTCCACAGGTTAGGGAAATGGCTCTCCATGTAAGATGAGGCTTCCCAACACTAGACCTCATTTCAAGAGTGACTGCTTTTAGTAGCCTAAGTGAACACAGCACTGCAGATGATTTAGATACATATAAATATACTATTTTTAGATAATGGCAGCAGCAGTTTTTTTTTATCATCCAATCATCTGCTGATATCATTCTTCATCAATAAGTTATTTGGTCGATTATATACCAGAAAACATCTTTTTCTTCACACAAACAGTTGTTTTTTCAAATTATTTACTAAACTTAACTATTAACACAAGAAAGCAACATTTATTTTCAAATTTGAGAAGATACAATTTTGGAAAAAAAAGGTTGCTGGGGAGTAGACTAACCAACTTACCACTTTAGCTCTGCAGTATATCTTATATATATATATTTGAGGTAAGCTTTGCACCAAATACCCTATTTCTCCCACTCCTGCACTCAATGTACTGGCTCAGCCGCAAGAATTTTATTTTTGGACACTGAACATCAAATGGCAACAATAGCGACAATCAGTGATTCACCAACTTCTCCTACTTCGCCTTGAGACCCGCTCAGGCAAGGAGAGTCTCTGGAAAGTGTGAAAGTGTCACACTGAGAACTCTTTTTCTAGTTTATGTAATACATGCAGAAAACTTTGGATAAAAATTCAAAGCAGGCTCTATTTATAAATTAAAGATTCCAATTCAGAAACAATAATAATTCTTTTAAATTCAACCATATTTTTGTAAAATACCTTTTCCCCCCTACAAGCAATAAAGAACTAAGAAGATGCATTGTATTTGGCTGTTTTTTTTAACCTTCATGCTTACATGTAGGGTCATTGTGAATTCCATTATTCCACCAAGGATTACACCATACTATACAAAATAATCCTTACTAGCCAAATATGGATTTGCACATTGAGAACCTCTTTCTGCTATAAGAGAGAGTAGGTGAATCACATTTCAAGAGTTTAAATCCTAAAAAACAAAGCTGCTGTTAGAGTGGAGCGTATTATGTTGTGAGTCATGTAATCCTCGGCTTACAAGATAGTTGTATTTTTAAAAGCTGTGGTAGCAGAGTTATTCATATAATAGGAAATACATTTCAGGTAAAGTGAATAAAACACATTTTGGACGGAGACCTTTACAGTCTGCCCAACCTTTCCACTTTCATGGTAATAAACTACCCTGTCCTGCTAGTTCTCCCTCCACCTGCTTCATTATTGTGGTTACCTTTTTGAAAACAACATGCACGATTGTTATGCAGTCTATCTCCATTAATGCAAATGTTGTGAGTTTGTATGTAGGCGGAGGCCAGCCTGGACAGAGGGCAGAGTGCCAGCCTGCTCTCATACACTGTCAGCTCCCTTCAGAGGTGAGAATGAGAGATGCTGCTCGACCTCTCCATGGATGTCTCCACAAGGGGGGGGGGGGGGGGGCATAGAGGAGATGTTTGTGTGGGCAGTTGGGAGGAAGGAAGAACATTATGAGCCACACGTCCATGCAGATAGCCTCGCTTAGATTGGATCAGGGCTTTCTGTCCCTGCACTGATATAAAAGGATTGTATTATTATTACAAAGAGCTGTTTTCCTCCTTCAGTGCAGTCTTTAAAGATTTTTGTTTTGTGTCATTTCGACAAATATCTACACTGTTGAGCAAAAGTTGACTTAGTCGTGGCCTAGCTTGGACAGAACATGATTTTTTTGTGCTGCATGCTGCTGAATAACAAGATTCATTACAATCATAGAACACTGTACAAAGGGGACCAGCAGAAGATATCTGTTACTTTCTCAGAATCCTTTAAAAATGCTTTTATGAAGCAAAGGATTGCCCCCCTTTTTAATCACCAAACAACAACAGAACCTGAACACTATGTGAACTTATCATGTTGCTGGATTCCTAGACATAGAGATCAACTGGTGGACTTGTATGAATATGTAAACAGCAGTCACTCCTTTTGAAATGAAGGTCTACAGAAAAAGTGTCAATAATATCTTTTCAGTGATTTTCATCTCAGAGTACTTTACTACTGGAAAGAGGATAATTCCATTGAAAGAGTGAGAGAGTTGTCTATATGGTGAAAAGGTGCAGTTATTGTAAGATGTGCTCAAAAGATGTTAGGACATCAGAGCCTGTGATATTTCCTCAAGGCATTGTTCACATCATCCAATCTGTTGACTCTTTCTGAAATAATTCCCTATGTTGTAAAATACTGTCCCTTAATGTTGATGTGTTTTGAGAAAAACATTTTCAAAATGCTTGTCATGCCCAAAGAACACAACCATAATATAGATTTTTAAACTCACTAAAAACAAAGTAAAACAGCAAATTCCTACAGAACAGAAGTTGAACTTCTTTTTTTTCAGTTTAGCTTGAAAGAATAACTTTTATAGTAGTTTGATTTTGTTTCTTTTGCCTTGATCTACATCATTATGACATTAAAAGTTCACATTTAGTTCCTGTTTGGTGATATTGAACCAGATCTCCTTTACAGGCTCAGTGTCCAGGCCTCAGGATGGGACCTGTCCACATCCCCTTCCCACGTATTACATGTCATCCCACATTCCTGTCATTCCCCTCACAAAAAGGACCTCAGTGTGGATTTCAGGACAAGGCTGGGAAATGGGTTACTTTTGTATGTGGGTGAGTTTGGGGGTAGCCTAAGATTACACATCCTCATGTTTCTGATATCTCCGTAAAGGACAAATAGACTTTTAGCTAAGGACAAGGTGACGGCTGGTGTTGTAGTCTACCATCATATTGTTATCAGAGTTATTCAAATTCTAACTGGGTGCCAAAGTGACCTTTACAGCTTACCCACCAGAGCCAACAAAATGAGCGCTGTCTGTTTTCTGGCTTGTCTGCTGAGACCTCCACCTGATTTTTAGTGCCTGTTCCCCACCACATCCTGCTTCATAACCTTGAGGCAGGGCACAGGGCCAGGCAGACAGGAGCTGGTCCTTGTGCCCTGACCTCAATGACATTTGCTCCATGTGATGGTCACACACACTGATGCTGTGTGAATTGATCTGGGCTGCATGCATGGATGGTCTCTGGCACCACCTCAGTTGGATGTTGATCTGTGGGCACAGCCATGCGCCGCCAGGCAATGGGGAAAAATTCCGCCTACTGAGCCGCAGAGGGACTAGCTTGTTGGCAGATCATAATCATCCCCACATACATATTTAATAATCTTGTCATGTAGAGATCCAGGCTGACAGACGCACTGACTGACCTGTTGCCTGCGGGATGTCGCAGTGCCATGCTCGGCATCCGTGGCGGCGATCTCAGGGGTCCCGCTCCCCTCCTCCTCCTCCTCCTCCTCCTCCTCCTCCTCCTTCCCCACCCGTGGCTCTTCTTCTGCGTTGGCGGCAGCGTGGGCTCTGTCCTCAAGAGCGCAGTCCACCATCTCCAGGTGTTTGCACCTGAGCACCTCTAGCTCCAGCACCCCGGCCAGGGTCGCTCTGAGGCGCTCTCCGATGCGGACGCGCTCGGTGCCCGACCAAAGCGAGTTCACGCAGCCGCGGCGGCTGGCCATCCTCGTCGGGGTGCCCGGCCGGCAGGGGGGAACCGGGCGCACCACTGACCAGCGCTGTTTCCGTGCTAAGGGGGGCTGAATGGGCTAAGGTCCGGACTCAGGAAACACTGTCGTTGTAAGCGATTCCATTTTCGTAGCCGTTTTAGTTACCAAATATCATCCTCACCATATCTAACATGCCATGCAGCACTAAGCCTAAGGCAGCCCTGCTGACTGGCACAAGACTGGAATGGATCCTCTGGTGCACCGAATCAAAAATCAACGAGCCATGTCTCTCATGAATCTTGGCTTGATTTCCTCTTTGACACCGTCCCTCTTTATATCACTCCTAATCTCCCCGGTCCAGTGGAGTGGAGTAGTCTAACCATGGTGCTGCGCTCTGGTCGCTGCGTCCCCAATGAGACAATGCAACAGACGGAGGAGAGGCTGGTAACGTTACATGTGGGAGCAGAGGAACGGAGGAGGAGGAGCCACTGCACCAGAGCTGTACGCGGATTGGTCTGGTAAGTTTTTCGAATGGCCGCGTGGAAAAAAAAATATTTGTTCAACTTCACTGTACGGGATGCCAGAGGACAAATACATTCTCAAAGTGATAGGCCTACGACAGAGGTTTCTCCGTGACCTTATGTGCACTAAAGCAGTGGTTCCCAAACTTTTTCTTTCAGTCCCCCCCACCCCCCTCCCTCCCACCTAACACATCAACACACATAGCCTATCCACAGCCTGCCCTTTGCTAAAAGATTCCTAATTTATCTCAAACATTGCCTCCAAAAAGTATAGAAAAGCAACGTCAGGGTTACAAGAAACTGAAAAAAATAATCAAACAGCTTTTTACAAAGGGAGCAATTCAAAGTGACTTTACAAAGTATTATAAACATCAGTTACAACTTTACAATAACCATCCAGATAATGATTGTAGATGGGTTACAAATCATTTTTTAAACATTGATAGAATATTAATTATCTGTATAAAACATGTTTATAGATGCTTTACAAAGTATTAATAAGGTATTATAATCTGCAGTTCCAATTTAACAATGACATCCAAATCATGTTAATAGATGCTTTACAACATATTTATGAACCACTAACAAAGTGTAACAAAATATATGTGGTCCATGTATCTCTAATGTTTTTAGATGTTTTATAAACAATCTCTTAAAGGTTTAATAACCATTTGATAATCATTTACAAACACTTAAGTGTATAAAATGTTGTGTGCAACAATAAACTGTTAACATCACATTAGTTATAGCATTACAGATAATGAGCAAACAGTATAATAAATATTAACTAAAGTTTATTAACTATCAATCTACCCTTTATTGCAATGGTTATTATAAAGTGTTACCAACGTATCTCACACTGGTAGGATGTGGCAACAGGAAGGAGTGCGGCTCTCTTCATCCCCTGCTATTGTCTATTGTGACCCCCCCCCCTCCCCACCAAACACACACATTGCCTGCCACTTGGGGAATCACAGCTCTAAAGATTATTTTAATCCCTGGTGACAAATTTAAAGTGTCTCCCTAAAGTGTCAGTCACTCTCCTGCAGTCCCTTCTCTGTTTCCCAAGAGACACAATCACCATGGCAACTTTTAGAGAGATTCATGTTGTGCTATATCTTTGCTATTATCAGTTTTAAGCTCTTTAAAACATGTTTTGTCATTCAGTGTGTTTCAGCTTCCAGGTTGTTCATCAGGGCAGTCAAGCATACCAACAGCTTTACGCTGTTTTTCTTATATTTCTACATCTTCAGCAGCGTTTTGCTGCTTGCAGCATTCCCGCACATTTTCTGCAAAGAAATGCAATAGCTGCTTGGGTTTCAGGCTTCCGATATCAGCTCACCCTGTCACAAGTCTGACCTTGAAACTTGCAACAAAACAGTCTTTAATAAAACAAGAAAAAGCTTTTCTGGTTTTGATATTAGAGATTATGCCTTTTTTTTTTTAGCAAGGTCAACAATCCATTTTCTGCACCTTTAGTTTATTTATTTTTGTATTTTGTGGTCCAAATGTTCATTATCTTGAATGAAGTGTATAGAGTAGATTATCGTCGAATAACTGACACAACATCAATGTTTTTTCAGGAGAACTATAGGCCTCCGTTGTCTGTAAGTGTGACAGGTGCAGTGCACTTTGCTTTAGTACCACCTTTTGACCAGCAGAGGGAGATCTTTACAAGCTTTACCTTGTTTCTACAGGCGACAATTATAACATGATTGTAAGAACTTCAAAGAGTAGGACATTTTGTCCACATCCAAGTTCAAGTTCTTTTTTTTTTATTAAAGTGAGGATAGAATATAATATAATACACAAACGTACTATAAGAGGAATTACACAGCACCACAATCTGCAGCCTCCATAGTGAAGATAGAGTTGAATTACAGTAGCAGCTTTGAAAAACAGTTTTGACATAAAAAAAAAATAAATAAAAAAAAAAAGTTTTTTTGCCTTCAAACAGACCGAATTTATTTGATACTTTTTCATTTTATTGGCGCTTAATAAACTAGAAACTTAAGGTGTGTACAGCCCATTTTAATGCGTTGTTGATGCATCAATGTGTTACTTGATACAGTATGGGAAAGTTTATGTTATCCAACGAGGATCTGGAGTGTTTTTTATGTTAACCTATTAAACTACGTTTCTAATAGCATAAATGATGATGTTGTTACATTGTCGAGAACCTGGACCTTGAAACTGAAGCGACAAGCTGGAATGCAGCCATTCAGCCATGTTCATTTTAATAGTTTCACTTTTGTTTCTCCTCCTGTATTGGGTTACAGTGACTTTAATGGAACAAGACTTTTAATGAGAGTGGGATTCTTTATGGCCATGTGACAACAAAACTTTAACCTTTCCAAGAAGTGTGTGAAAAGAAAGTCAGCAAATATAGAAATTCAAAATTAGGAATATTTTGAATGACAAGAGTAAAGTCATTCACAAAAAACAACTTATTAACATTCGGTTGTCCTAAAGAAAGTCTATTTGAAACGTGAGCAGAAGAACACACCCAGTTTCTATTGATCATGATTGGCCAGTGCAAGAACAAAGATCGATAAACATATGTAATGTGACCAGCATGGAGACCAGAAGGTGAGGTCAAAGGTCAGGAGTTAAGAAAACTTGTGTCTCTGTGTTTGTGTATGTCTGTTGGTTGATTTTAATCACAACTCATGATTAAGTAGGCACCATTGTTTTTTTTTTCACTGTGAGATTTATTTTGTGTGTGTGTGTGTTTCTCTTGAGTCTGGTCTCATCTAAATCATTATTATCATGTGTTGTTTATGGTCTTCACATGGTTGGTTTGCCCTCATTATACTTCTCTCTGTGTGTTTGTACCCTTCTGTGTGAATGTGTATGTGACAGCAGCACCAATATCACAAGAAGACGAGACAATACCCTGTGAAATAACCAGTATGTGTGAATCTGGTTTCAACCAGTAAAGAGGGCAAAGGCATGCACACACACACAGCCCACTAGTACGAGGAGTGTGTCTTTGTTTGTTGGTGACACATCTGGACTCCTCCCGGGTCTGTTCCCTATAAAACAGCAGTGGTCAGTGCAGCTCAGTGGGGTTTGCTTACTTCCACCCGAGGGGACTTCTCTGTCAGCCTGGGCAAGACCGCTGCAACGCCTCCATCACCGCTGGTCTCTGCAAGCCGCCCCAAGCAACACAAACATGGCTCCTTTTGAGAAATCCATTGAGTTGATGCCCTTCAAGCAAAGAAAATGCCTTGGTAAGACTGAAAAAAACCTCATTAATTGCTACAGCTACTGGTTTTAGAAGTGTAAAATATCCATTCTCTCTCTATCTAGAAACAAGAAAAGATGAAGTGTGCAGCATTCGGTCTAAATTTCCCAACAAATTGCCTGTGAGTTGCTTTCCCATTCTGATATTTTCTCAAAATTGAATTGCTACTTTTAATACTTCATAGAGCACATGGTGAATATACCAGCAGATCCTAAATGTGTTCTTGTGTTCAGGTGATTGTGGAACGTTACATACGTGAAAAGGCTCTTCCCCTGTTGGATAAAACAAAGTTCCTGGTCCCGTTTGAGCTCACCTTGGGACAGTTCCTATGCCTGTTAAGGTAGAAAATATTCCCTGACTTTACAAGCTTGTTATTCCATTTCATAAGCCGTTTTCTTTCCAAGAAACACTTTTTTTCTTTTCTTAAGACCAAACTGTAAGATTTGTCATTTGTCTCATCTTTCAGGAATAAGATTGCCTTGGACTCCACCCAGGCTCTGTTCCTGCTGGTGGCAGAGAAGAGCATGTCTTGCATGTCCTCCAGCATGGGGGAGGTTTATTCCCATCACAGCGACACTGATGGCTTCCTCTACATCACCTACGCATCACAAGATATGTTCGGAGCACCTCAGCACGCAGCCAGGCCGCCTTGCTGATCCTGAAGCAGATCAAATGAACTGAACCTCAACCACTGGTGTTGACACCACATAAACTGGACAAACTGAGCCAAGCCCAGATGGTTTTTGTCCTGTTTTATTAATTTGCCCCCAATTGCAGATCCGCCTACCTCATGAAACTTGCTGGAAATCAGTAAATAGCTCCATCCCACGTCACTTCAGCAAGCCAAAATTAGACTGTGGTGTGCAAGACTCACGCAGTAAGACACTGAGAGATTGTATTATATTTTGGAACCAATTTGGAAGGTGCAACAGCTTCTTTTGATATTTCAACTCTATTGAATTTCAAAAATCTTAAATAAAATGTTACACCGGTAATTGTGATGTTGTTTGCCTGATGTATTCCTCCACAGGTCATATTTCACCACATTGTAATGCGAAAAAAAAACAAAAAACTGTGTTAACCTTGCCATAATGCCAGTTCAGTCTAAAACCACAACCAAATTCACACAAACAGGTTCAAACAGGTTCAATATCTTACTTGTGATCAGACTCCTTCTTAGCACTTATCCCCCTTACCTTTCCTCTCGTGGTAACCTCTTCCATCTTCGCTTGGAAAATGTGAAACTTGAGGTACTTACTGAAAACATGAATGTCAATTTGATGCTGCTATGATTTCTTGTTCTGTATCAAGCTGCGATTCAATAAAGAATACATTCTCGTCCTTTTAACTGGTGGGCTTTGTGTGATATTTATATTTAATATTTTTAGTAGGCATGTTGTATTATTAATGGTCTTGTCAGTTTGTATATTTAGTATAAAAATGGTTCTGTCAAGATTTTAATTTCATTACATTACATTCAGATAGCTACTGTGTTTACTGTGTTTTTGAACTCCAGATGTTGTCTGGTCATTAAACACAGCTTGAACAAATCATTTGGTCGGACTGCAGAGAAATGGCTAAATATATTATGATGGGTTAAACAAAATAGATAGTTTGGCAACGTCTCAGTTCTTTTTCTTTGGTCAAAGATACGATATGTATTAAGTAGTGAAGCTATTAGTATGTTACACTTCAAATGAAATCCTGTACTTGTGCTTATATGTGTTGTACACGTACATACAGTACAGTAAGGTGCCTCATTCCTCACCTATCCGGGAAGTGGCACTCCCTCCACATGACTCCATTATATAAGCCTGACCCAGTCAACTACCTGCAGGGGTCAGTGTGTCAGAGGGCTGGCAGGACTATTTTTAGACATGGAACAACAAATGTGACCCAAACAGTGAGAGAGCAGGGTGAGGGTCGGGTGGAGGGGGGGAGATGAAAAACAAAAAGTCATTCTCAGTAAACAGTGGAAGAAAAGGAGGGAAAAGGGAAAGAGATACATGGGGAAGATAGTGACGCCCCAACAGAGGACTACAGGAAAAAGGAAATGTTGTAAAGGAGAGATATACAGTGGGGGAGCAGGTCAGCTATCAAAACACACCGAGTACAGAAGCACAGGGATGTACAGGCAGGCCCCTTCTCTTACTTCACACCACTCTGTGCATTCCAGCAGCTCTCTGTCAGTATATTATCAACCCAGAACAGAGGCACCTGCTGCCACAGCAGGCTGTAAACAATGTGTTTTAAACATAGTGTTCATGTCAGGTCTGAACTAACAGTGGAGTAATCCTCCAAAACATCTGTATCTTATTGTGAAAAAACACACGACAATAGGTTATTCAGGGAGCCAGCATTTCATTAAGACACAATGTGAGATGAGGTGATTACATAATAATGTTATTGTTGTAAAAAAAAACCTGCTATTGTTTACATCAAACACTCTAAGCTACAATAATACTGTGACTATTGAGTGAATGACACATTCAATATAATAATGTGGAAAATTATGAAACATTCAATATCAACTATATATTCTTAGCTCTCTTTTATAGTTGATATTTCACATATGCAAATCAACAAGGACCCTTACTGTTGAACTGTGCCTATTATTGGCATTATTGGCATTGTGGTCCTTTTTGATTTGTACCTAACTGATTTTATGTTTTATATTTGCACCTTTCCACAACATTTTGTCTTTACTTTATAATTTCCTCACGTGAACTTTTATAAAACCCCTCAAATAAACAAATCCAAGAAAAAAACACAGATTTGATTGAACTGCTTAAAATTCAATAGTAAGAACATCATCTCTCATGAGGGACCAGAAAGACTTTCTTTTTAAGAGGTTACAACTGAAAAAGGGGTTTGTAAGCCACAATGTTAGGCTAAGAGAGTCATGTTCATAAAAACATAACCTTATGTCTTATGTCATATATATATATATATATATATATCTGTACATACCCAGGACACAAGAGAGCCCCTCTGGACTTTATCACTGTTGAAATCTCCTGCTGGTAGACATCATGTGTATCTAACACTGACTGATAATCTAGTGAGTCAGTCAGGGAGCAGAATGTCAATTTGTCTCCATGTGCTGATGAGTGAGAGCCACAAGACTCTGAGTTGCACATGAAAACTGGTGAGGCAAAGTTTGGAAAAATGTAAACACATACATGAACAAACATGCAGTGAAAGATATACTCAGATATTTCAGTCATCTAGTTTCTGTTCTTACATCTGATGTTGTTGATGTGGGAGAGTCCCAAACCCTTATTTAGATACACCTGATTCTCATTTCAGTTTCATATACCTATAACCTATTTCAAGAACGCAAACAGACCTCAAAGCAGGCTAGAATTATTCGGGTTGTGTAATAGTTGACTGTTGGGTGAGTCGCGTGAGTGTTGAGTCAATTAATAAGCGTTCAACTTCTCTTTCTGGATTCTAGTCTACAACCCCAAGTCCTAAAAGGTTGTGACAGAATGTCATGATACCCAAACACTGAAACCCCATATTAAATTAAAACTTTCACAATGATAACATCAAATTTTGTAACAGATGAAGTTTACTTTTGCCTTACTCCTGCGGTAGTGCTAACAGTGACTCTGTCCGTCCTACAGAGGGCAGTGCATTGCATTTAAACTATCAAAATGATAGCACTTCAAAATAAAAGTCAGCCTCTAGATGACCTCACTTGCCTTTGCATGACCCTCAATGACAAACCGTCTAATAACTGAAAGCAAAAACATGTGATTTAAGTTCTCACTCGTTTTTAATTGGTGAAACTGATTTATTTTCTAAATCAAACATCTGATGAAACTGAAAGAGTGTTTATTCACAGAATCATGAGTCAGATGGTACAGTATTCCTTTTTATTTATCTGGCAAAATAATAAAAAGGGAAGCATTTGGAAAGAGTCTAAGTTAACAGTCAGGAAATACAAAAATAGAGATAAAACAAGTCTAACAGCTGTTTTGATTTATTTCCTCTTTTTCTCTCCAAATGGAAAAAAAACTATATTTCTTTGGATCAACATATAATAATAATATGGATTGTGTACATATAAGATATCTTTAACACAGGATTCACAAATACATGTTCAGCCCCACCATGCAACGTCTAACTGCCCATCAGTTCATGATCCAGTAATGTCCGTTCTTCGTTTTTGTTTTATCCCACCCCCTTTATCTCCATGTATTTCTAATAGATATCTTAACATTATCTCCTCTGTGTCATGCCCCCTGAAAACCTCCAGTCTTTCTCTGGTGAAAAGATCACAACTCTTCGCCGTGTCAGTACACCTGGAGACTCACAGCTTGATGGAGGATGATGCTGTTCATGCTTGTGGTTGGACTTATGTCTGGAGAGTCCTTAACATGGAGCAAAGCGTTGATGTGGCTGGTCCCTAACCTTCCTCCTCTAGTCCTCCCGGACTATCCCACGTTTGGACGGGGGCACCAGGTGTTCGGGCAGCTCAGATGGCAATTCATGGCCCTCCAGCTTCACCTTGATCAGGTGATTGGCCAGAGCAAACTCCTCATCGTCGAGTAGGCCATCTTTATCCACGTCTGCTAGCTTCCAGATCTTCCCCAGGACTGTGTTGGGCAGCTTGGATTTCACCATTTCTTTTTTGGCTGCAGCGCCGGACACTTTGCCGTTGATGGGTGAGAGGGTGTAGAAGATCTCATCATATGAAGGCTTGTCACGGCCCACCACCCACTCCAGCTCATCAATGCCTTCGCTGGCTCCCTCTCCATAACCATGACCAAATGGACCGCTCATGGTGCCCTCAAAGGCTCCACCCTTTACGATCTGACTGGGCATGGCCGCCTCTTCCTGGCGCACCAGAGCCATGAGTCGGGCGATGTCATTGGCGAGCATGTCCTCCACTGCCTCCAGCAGCTTGGGCTTCAGCGCTACAAACTTGGAGAAGTCCTGGCCGTTCAGCAGCTCCTGAAGGGATGGGGAGAAAAAAACAGGAATTGGTGATAGAAATAGATCAGTCTTCAGTGGCTACCAATGGGAGTAGCATACAAGAAGCAGGATTTCCTGACAAACCAGGAAAAATAAATCTCATCCTTGTCCTGGCCCATCCTGGAGGGCAAGGGAAGGAAAGAAGGGCAAAGATGTGAAGAGAGTAAAGGTTGAAAGGCCATTCTACTATGAACTTGGTTTTTTTTAAACTTCTTCTAACAAGCTGAAGAAAGAGTCAAAGTAGAGAAGTAATTTGTCATTTCAGTATAACCACAGTACACTTGTTATCTCACCTGCATCTTGGCGAGGTTGGGAAAGTCTCCAGGTGAGATCTGGTGCTCCTTCTCGATCCTATGGTAGGTCTCCCCCAGGTTGGCTATCAGCTCCTTCTTTTTGGAGTCTTTTCCAAACACACTCGGCATGTCCTTTTTCAGGGAGCTGATAATGTATGCTTGTACCTGGACACCATAAAGAAAAGAATATTTTACACTGATGATTGAACTGCACTTTTGTGGTCAGACTGTGGGGAGTTGGATTGAAGTTTACAAAATTGCAATAACCTTATGACACTAGTTTTCACTTCTGTATTTTGGGTAAATAAGAAATAGTTACAGAGTTGCATTAAAAAAGACATTTTGGGTAACTGTACTCTTGTGGGATTAGGATAGTGGTGTGAGAATGAGGAAGAAAGAGCATAGATAAAATCTGTTATGCAGCTTTTAAAGTGGGCGTTTTATAGTCGTTCTCACGGCTTGGCTGAAGTAGTGGCAGATACAGTGTGAAACTTGATCCACTGTTTCTGTCCTGGTGGAAATATCTAAAAACAATAATTGGATAGATTGCCATGGACATTTGTACATACATTCTTGCTCCTCATGCAAGTGAGTTGTCATGACAAATATGTAATAATGGACAATCACACACCCGTTCCCCAACCCACCCCTAAGTAAAAAGGTATTAACAATTTCCTCCCACTTCCCTCCACCATCATTAAAATGTTAATTTGTTAAACATAGTTTGTTAAGTTATTACCCTGTAAAACTAATAAGATTCCCATCAGCTGTAGTTGTGTTTTGCAGGATACAGCGCTGCTAGGATTTCTTTATGCTCTTCATCATGTGAATACTAACCTTGGCGAGGCGTGCTCGTTTGATGAGGTCGTTGAGTTTACGTAGGGCTGCATTACGTGGCAATGATTGAATGTCCAAGAACAGATCCTGCTCCTCTGCCTCAAACAACTTCCTGTTGTCAGGGACCAAAAGGGGCTGGGTCCAGAATGACCCGATGTACACGCGCACCACCTTGAATAAGTAGGCACATGTTAACCTCCATTAATCTAAACCATACCTCAGGTTACACTTTACT